GGTTGTGAAAAATAGCGTATTACCTCCTCACCAGTGACTTTCACCGAGACGCCTGGATTTTTGTTGTAGTTTCAATCTCCTTGTTCTTATAGGCACTGCTCTGGTTTAGGACTGGGTTTGTGAACTAGCAACCCAGTGACCCCCTTCTGCTTATAGACTAGCTTTGTTTGGCCTGTATGATGTTTAAATATTTATTTCAGAGACAGGGTCACACTATGAACCCCAGGCTGACCCTGGACTTTAGATCTTCTTGTCTCAGCCTCTCAAGTGCTGGGATTGCAAGTGTGTACCACCACACCCAGCTAAATTATTAAAAAATTGTTGCCACCATTTAACAAAGTGGAAACTGTACTTAGAAGTGTAGATTTCAGCTTCTTTTGAAAACTCAGAGCATCTTGTAACCCTAGGCCCTATATACTTATTTGACAACATTCAGTTACAATTAATGTGAGACTTCCTTCCTTGGGCAAGATCTGAGCTTTCCAGCTGAGAATTTTCGCCACTCTTGTTTCTTACAATTGGCATGCTTCACTCATTGGCGTTGCCTAATCCGACTCTTCTAAGGACTTCCAGTCTGTCTATTCTTCCAACCTTACCTGTAACATAATACATAACCATCTCCTCTCCACATTATCAAAGTTAAATTTCTAAGCAGTTGTGATCAAATCACTTGATTTGCATATCCTTGAAACGTTGTATTCTGGATAAAATCCAAACTCTTTAAAATGGCACTTAGTGGTCTGTCTGCTTGCACCAGAATGAGCACACCAATCTGTTCCCCACCCCTTCCCAGTTTTGCTTACTACTCAAAACCAGCAGTTCCCAAATAAGCACACTTCCTTGTGTTTGCCTGAGCTGTTCTCTTTTCCTCGTCCCCTTTCCTCTTGATTAACTCGTACTTATCCTTAAAATCTACGCTGACATTAATCCTCTAGGAAACCTTTCCCTTATGATGTGGTCTTGGGGATGGAATCCAGGGCCTTTGCACTGAGCTACATACCCAGCCCTTTTTATTTTTTACTTTGAGAAAGGTCTCCCAAAGTCACTAAACTGCCCAGGCTGGGATCGAACTTGCCTTCCTTCTTCAATCTCCCAACGTTCTGGGAGTACAGGCTTTAGCCACCATGCCGGGCTACTGGGCTCTCCTTTTGAGATCCCAAAGCAACTTGTGCCCTTCAGAATATGTGAGCTCTTCATTTAAAAGCCCGAGTCTCCAAATACCATCAACAGGTGTTAAGTTAGGGGTAGGGTGAAGTGGGGCTAATTGGAGTTGTATTGAACTAGCGTTATTTCCTGGTTTACACCTCTGTATCTAGTTCTCATAGGAAAGGTGCGATAGGAACAGCACAAACACGGATTTTCGCCGGCTGGTGGTCTGCGTTCCCAGCAAACCGTCACGCACGCACGCCCCTGAGGACCGCAGTTCCCGGCGAACGCGGGCTCTGATTGGTTGGAGCGGTGCATGCCGGGGAGCGCCCTGGTCCCGAAGGAATTTTGGGAGTTGTAGTTCCCGGAGCCGGAAATGGGGGCGGCAGGGATAGAAACCGCAGCTGAGGAATCCGTCACTGACGCTGCTGACGCTTGGGTGTAGCACATCCCTGGGAGCCCAGCAGCCCTGGGTCCCGCCTCTGTTTCCGCGGGGCTCAGAGAATCCTGGCGGCCGAAGCGATAGGGTCGCCTCTCCCCGGCCAGGAGCGGCCTCGCAGCACCAAATGCGGCCGGACGGCGCGGGAATGGATCTGGGTGGCTGCGAAGAGCGCCTGCCGGAGGAGAGCAGGTGGGCAGCCAGGGCGCGGGGATCGCAGCAGCGGGGAGCCGGGGAGGCGGAGAGAAGCGTCAGAAGCGACGACCTGGTGTGGTTGGCCGCTGCGGGGGACTTGTTGGGGGAAGAATTCCGAGAGGAGGGATTGGCAGGGCGTGGAGAGGTCGGGGTTCGGAAGGGCCAGGCAGAAGGGGCAGGATTCATATAGGGCAAGGGAGCACGAAAGGGTAACACTCAGATCCTAGACTGCTGGGGAGGAGGCGGATATTCAGGGTGCCGTGGTGAGATTCTTGGGGCCACACTCTAAAGACAGGAACCGGAGACAGGGCTAGTGCCCTGGCTGCAACTGTAGGTGACAGCAAGCCGGGCCAGTATGAAGAGGGTGACGTTGTAAAGATTTCTAGGAGTAAAGGTGAGAGGTTAGGAGTGGTTTAGGAATAAGGTGAAGCAAGGACGAGTGTGGGCAAGGGGGCGCGGAAGGCCTGTGGATGAAAAGCGAGTTTGTGTTGGCAGTTCGCACAGAAATTGTGTGCGTGCCCTTTGTCAATGCTGAGTCCCTGTTAGAGTGGCAGGATCTTTCTGTCATTTCCTTTTCATCTTCAGACCTTTCACTTCTTCCCCACAATGCAAACTAAGCAAATTCACATTTATATGGAACTATTGTCAGAAAGCCTGAATCTTCTAGAAATCAAGGGTGTGTATGTGTGTGTGTGTGTTGCTGAGGCTGGAAACCAGGACTGTGTGTGTGTGTGTGTGTCTGTCTGTCTGTCTGTCTGTGTGTGGCTGAGACTGGAACCCAGGGCTTTGCAAATGCTAGCAAATGCAGTGCCACTGAGGATTTGAGATTTTAAAGGCTACTATGACTAAATGATCAGTTGGAGTCTGTTTAGAGTTTGTTTCATTAATAACTGGCCTTGGGGCTGAGGATGTTGCTTAGTGGTAGAGCACCTGCCTACCTTGCAGGAAGATCTGGGTTCCATCCCAGCACTGGAATAGCAACAAAAATTGTTCTTAATCTCTCTTGAAGGCTGGGATGGCAGGTTATAACAGGAATATGATTCAAAGAAGTCTTCTTTGACATTTAGAAACAATTTAAGGTAAGGTGATGTTTCAGGAGCAGCTGAGATCCAAAAACTGGAGGCAGTATATTTGCCTTTGAGAAACTATTCTCAGGGGAGAATTGAAATGCTATGCTTGGGTGAAGATTTTGTGATTTGTAAGGGTGACTCCACGTTTATGTGCACAGGTGTCCTGGACAAAGCCTGGACTGAGTGGATTTTGGGTTTGTGCCTGAGACCACTGAATGATGTGTACTAAATAAAACTGAACATCTTACTTCCCCTTTCCACGCTTTAGTTTCTGCTTATGTATATTTGGGTATTTATTCTTCCTCCAGATGTCTGTGAAATGATTCATATGAAAGATCCCCTGTAAGCTCTAAACAAGTTTTAAAGTTACTTTGATTTTCCTCTAATATTTCGTAGGGGTCAGGCTGGGTCAGTAATGTAAGTTCAGTTTTTTTTCCCTTTTTAACTGGAATTGCATTATTTATTTAACTGGTATTTACCATATTCCAGGCACTGTTTTAAGAGTCTTACAAATATTAACTTATTTAATCTTGTCAATTGTATGAGATAGGCACTCTAATTAATATCTTTTCATATCTGAGACATAGACAGAATAACCTGCCAAGATCATACTGGGGTTCAAACCCAGGCAATTAGCCTTAGTCTGTTTTTTGTTTTGTTTTGTTTTGTTTTTTTGAGACAGGGTCTTTTTTTTTTTTGTTTGTTTGTTTGTTTTTTTGAGACAGGGTCAAAGCCAGTCCAGTCTGGCTTTGAACTCACTGTAGGTTAGGCTGGACTCAAACTTGCTTCAGTACTCTTGCCTCAGCTTCCGAGTGTTGGGATTACAGTTGAGTACCACCACAGCTGGCTCTTAGCCTGTACTTTTAATATCTATACTATACTGCCTCTTACTATGCTAATAGTAAAAAAGAAATACATGCGATTGTGTTAAATTTAATACCATTCTGTGCCTGTCATTCAGGCTAGCAGGACAACCTCCCTTGTAGGCATCTTTTCATAGTACTGTCTGTGCTTTCTTTTAGCCAAAGAACTTCAGTCAAAACTTCATTTTGGCAGTGAGATTTTTCCTGCAAAGTCATTTACATTGTTATTAAAAGCAATACTGTGTTGATGCTTAGTTAACTGTGAATGTGTTGTTCATTGGAGCTTCCTGGTACTGATGGTCTCCTTAGCTCCAGACAGACACTGGTAAACACACACGTTGTGCCTGAGAATTGAGGCTTTGTGGCTAGGTCACTGCAAACATTTCCTTTCTATGGTCATTACAATATCCAATTCAGAAACAGTCTTTGTGCTGGGTATGGTGGCACACGCCTGTAATCCCCAGGACTCAGGAGGCTGAGGCAGGAGGATTGCTGTGAGTTCGAGGCCAGCCTGGACTACATAGCAAGACCTTGTCTCAAACAAAACAAACACCAGTCTTCTTGAGGAGATGGCATCATTTTATTTTATTTATACAGAAAAAGCAGCAAAATTTAATAAAGCTTTGCTGGCGGGAAGGAAATGGCACTGGTGCAGAATGGGGTTAAAGATTTGAAATGTGGGCAGGATGTAGGGTGCCTCCCCCGGAGGCTTTCCAAGCATGATTGATGGCGTGATTGACAGGGTGCTGCGCTGGGTCAGCTGTATCTGCTGCCCAAGTCCTTTCTCATTTCTGCCTCCGGGCAGCTGGTCCCTGGACAAAGGTCAGGGGGTTTGGCCCTGGGGTTTTGGCAGAGTGAGCTGAGTAGAGAAGAGTGGTCCCATGGCTCCAGTTGTACTATCTATATTATTCCCCTCTGAGAGACCTGGTCCCCGAAAATCGTTAAGGGGTGCTGAGAGAGGATGTCCTTCTTCTATAGCTGCTTCCGACTGAATAGGGGTACTGGCTGTACCTCCTCAGGGACCAGGGAACTCTCACTCTGCTTGATCTAGGGGGCGAAGGGAGTCTGCTCCTCCTGTGAGGATTTCTTTTTTTTTTTTTTTTTTTTTTTTTTTTTTTCCGGTACCAGGAATTGAACTCATGACCTTGCGCTTGCTAGGCAGGCGCTGTGCCGCTGAGCTAAATCCCCAGCCCCTCCTGTGAGGATTTCTTGGTGAGCTGTGGGTGTGGAGGTAGGCTTTGGTCCTTGGTGATGCCATCATTCGTAGTTTAAGGGCTGTTAAACAAGAAGAAACGAATTTGACAAAGAGATTAAGTATGCATGGTCCGAATAGGCTATGAGAAGCATGAATAAAAGTTACAAGGTTAAATGCTCCTGTCCAGTTTGCTGAAAGGCACAAGTGGGAATTTACCACACAGGAAGCAATGTCTTGGAGTCTCAAGACAGAAATTATTTTCAGTAGTAAACATACGGTTGAGCTGTGGCAAGCAAGAAAATAGTAAAACTAGCTACATAAGACATGCAAAGAGGGACCCTGTTTCCAGGATGGGGCTGACTTGACTTAGCAGGAGTAAAATGATTTACTTATCCAACTCAGCAGATTGGTTGGTGTTTTCTCTGTTTTTTGTTTGCTTGTGTTTTTGTTTTTGAGGGCAGGGTCTACTATGTAGTGCAGGCTGACCTTAAACTTGCTTATGTAGCCCAGGATGGCCTTGAACTTGCTGTGATCCTCTTCCCTCAGAGTCCCAAATGCTAGGATTATAAGAGTGTGCCACCATGCCGTTTTTTTTTTTTTAAATACAGGATTTTGCTATGTAGCCTGGACTGGTCTTGACCTTGTGGTGATCCTCCTGCCTCAGCCTCCTGAGTGCTGCAATCTTAGGTGTGTGCCACCATGCCCAGCTGTATTTATTTATTTATTTATTTATTTATTTATTATTTTTTTTGAGACAGGGTCTAGCTGTGTAGTTTGGACTGGCCTGGAACTCATTATGTAGCCCAGGCTGGCCTCAAACTCATGGTGATCCTCCTGCCTCAGCCGCCTGAGGGCTAGGATTATAGATATGTGCCACCACCCTGGTGTTGTTTTCTTTTCAGAAAGAAAATTTGAGGCTGACTACTGGTTCGCAGGTATGTAAGGTTTGTGGTCTGTTTCCAGGTGCCTCAGGTGGCTTGGGTTTTACCTTGAAGAGGTAAATCTAACAAATATTGAGAGTTAGGGTCCATGGGGATGGAAGAGAAGGCATCCTTGAGATCAAGGACAGAAAGCCGTTTGTATCTCCCTGGATTTGTGTAAGGAGGGTGAATGGATCTGTCAATAGGGAGAGTAGGCACCACTGCCTCATTGATGATTCTGAGATCTTACACTAGGCGCCATGTTCCAATGGCTTGACCATTGGTAAAATCAGTTTGTTGTACAGGGACTAGCATGGCACTAGCAACCCTGTTTCTAAAAATGTATCGATGATGGAATTTAGCCCCTGCCTACTTCTCTTTTAACTCTTTATGCAGAAAACTGTAATTTTTTAAATTTTTGCTTGAAATTCATATATGTCACCTAGAAACATTCAAAGAACAAGAATTTGAAGAGCAGAAATTTTACTGTGTTCTATTGTTATGGGTGTTCCAAAAATGGAACACGAGGCTTTGATGGGTTAAGGTAACACTGCCTTCTGTGAACGTATAGTTCAGGTGATTACTGAGTGATCAGCTGAGTGATTACTGGAGTGGCCCGTGACAGCTCTCCATGGGCTGCCATCATACTATGCTTGGATCAACCTTCAACAGAGAATTGGGCCTGATAGAGCCAGGCTGGCTGGGTCCCTGCCAACTAGGACAAGGGGTACCAGAGTTTAAGTGGCAGAGTGGCCTTGAGGAGGAAGAGTATATCTTTTCCAGTTACTGGTACGGGGCACTTTGGTATTACCATGAAGGCAGCTTGGAAAAGGAAATCTCCCAGTTAGCAGTTGAGAGTGGGGGTAAAGAAAACTAAACAGTTAACTCACTCAAGACTCACAACAGCTGAGAAATGAGCTGATCACTCACCCTAGTAGCAGGTTAGAAT